AATCTTAAAAAATATGTATGTTTGAGCTTGAAACATTCAAAGAAATGGTAGTATGTAGGTACTTCCTGTATTCGAACTTGTCGGTACCATCAGCAAAAAATGAATCTAATCAGTTATAAAATTCATTGTAGTGGCATTAAAAGATACATGAAGTAAGAAATGATCTTAATGAATTCCGTACATACATTATGCATGGCGGGGATGCTTGAATCAAATATTTCTCTCTGGAAAGTTGCGAAATCGCTCAGAAACGGGAAGTGTGACCATCTTCCGCACATAGATGCATAGTCTTTAGGACTGGGGAAAAGGTTGAGGTTTTCGCGGATGCTATTGAAAGACACTGCTTTCCCAACTATGACATGATAATGACCTCGTCAGAAGATCTTTTAAGGCCAATGACATCAGTTGTAGTGCATTAGTGATTTTTCCTCAGAGGAGTCTTGTTTGGAAAACTACTAAACTGTGGCAATGAATGACATGCTGAGGACCCAATACTTCCCAGCGGCGTGGAAGACCACAGATGTTATAATGATACAAAAGAAGGCTGGGCCGATATTTTCCATTACCGTTGTATTAATCTGTTGTTAGAGATCCTTGTAAGCTCGCTGACAAGGTGATTCTACGACACTTTGACATAATGTGACACAAGGACCTTCTCCATAAATTGATCCAAAAGGGCTTCCCATTTTGGTTCCTAACACTTCTGAAAATTTTCCTTAGAGGTAGGAAGTTCATCTCTATGCTGATATTGCTCTAATGGCCAAGTCGTGTTTTGGGAATCTGGTTCATGACAGACTGAGAAGTGCAGTCGACGAGGTATTGGAATGAGCGAACCGATGGCTGATTAAAATTAATCATTCGAAAGCGCAGGCTATCTATTGTACTAAAAAACGTTGCGGCGCACCGTCTGAGGTTTCAGCGAACGGAGCTCGTGTACCATGGAAACATTCTGCCAAGTGTCTTGGTGTCGCTCTTGACAAGGGGATGACTGAAGAGATAAAAACCAAATTCCGAATTACGTTTCGGCAACTCTACCCTATGTTATCTTGAAGCTCAAAATGGAGTTTGACCAACAAAGTTCGGCTATACAAGATGGTTATTCGATCAGCGATCTCACTTACCCATGTGCGCTTGGTGTTTTCTAGTCAAAACGTATTTGCGTAGTCGGTATGTTTTGCAGAACAGAACATTGCGCACAATCACTAACGCCCCATGGTATGTCTCCAACGAGAACCGTCACACAGACATCGACATCTCTTATCTGAGGGACCACATCAAACAACAGGCGCAGCTACGTTTCTCTTATCTGAGGGACCATATCAAACAACAGGCGCAGCTACGTTATAGATAAGCGGACTCGCATAGCAACCCTGATGCGTGAGTCAGTAGACTACACAGTCGAGCAAATTCACAAGCACAGAAGACGGGTGGGGTGGTATTGTGAACAAAAATAAATTGTGTTGGTTTAGGGCCAACCAAAATTACAGCTTTTCTACTATAACCAATCTCCAAATTAATTTTAGGATAGACTTCAAATTCCCGAATACTAGTAATCAATGCCAAGCCGCCAAATTGGCGCACTTTCTCCTCTGTTGTATACCTTTTACCTTCCCTTCTTGCTCCTTCCTTCCTCTGTCCCTAACCTTGTCCGGTATTTGGGCAAGCAGACCTGACAGGCCTACTGACTTACGATACTTTAACCAAAGAGCAAAATAGCCATGCCATCGTGATAGCACGTTGTCAGTGTGGAAAGTTGGGTTATTATGGGAAATAGTAGTATTTTTGAATCGGAGTCAAATTATGCTGTCTCTCGTTTTCATAATCGACTTACAATGTAAAAAAATCTATTTGAAAATGCAGTCAAATTCTCGGTTTGTGAGTTGGGTATTTAGAACCAATGAAAGAAAGAGAAACATAGAAGGTGCGGAAAAAAACTCCGGATAGAACGCAATGAACAAAAGACACAGACAAGTGTGGAGTCCTCAAACAATTTCTTTAACGAGCAGAATATCTCCAAATTGATACAAGATATTTTTTATTCACTATAGGACTGACGATAGGCTCGTAGCACAATGCTTATCACGGAGAATCTGATTAGTAGTATAATCAACTAGTCATTCATGTGCTCTGTGCAGGTTATCAGCTGCTGAGCCAGATAATTCTTCATTTCCATGAGTCTACGTATATGCATCACAATGATATATTGGTATCACAAATGTGAAGATTCCTAAATGAGTTTTTGAAGAATCTAGACAAAGTGCTAAAGAGATATAACGCATTGTATCTCTAAAACAAACACATAAATTGAGAGTAAATTTTCCGAGATTTGTACTTGGTTTCCCGAATAATTTTCCTATTACAAATTAGGACACATTAGATTTTAATAGAACAGGTGGGTATACAGCGTGTTTCAAATTCGACCCCCACCATCGGGATCTCTGAAACTGTAAGAGATACGAAGTCGCTCAACTGGGAGCAAAGTTACGTACTTAGGTAATCAACAAATGCCGCTTAGAAAATTTCGAAATTCAAAGTATGGAGAGACGGAAAAAAAATAAATGTTCCCAAAATCATTTCAACTTTTTCCTGACTCTAATTGCAGATGAATTCCAAATTAAATAACACATTAACGTTGAAACTTTTTTCCTCTACAAGATGGCATAATTAAAATTCCAATATGTTTCTTATAATGAATAGAGTTTTTAATGCTGATTTCAAAAATATATAGAGTAAATGCAGGTAATTTGGAATACTGTTGGTAATTTGGAATACTGGAGTTATTAGCAGCGACATCTTTTAAGAAACATCGGTATCAGATAGTCTACATAGCAGTCAACGAATAAGCCGTGGCTTAGAGGGCGCTGTGTTGTTAGTGTCGTGGCAATTATCGTACAAGTGGAAGTACTGTTTGTGAATTTTTTGAAATAAGTAAGTAATCCATTCGCATCTCAACTTTTAAGCATATTCAGATGTTTACACTGATACAAATACACAGTTTAGTATATTAATTATTGAAATTAATGCTTATTTTGCTACAAATTGTAGATATAAATATATCACAACATTTTAAGGTTAGGTAAGGTTTGTTGTTAATTTGGTATACGGCAGGTGGAATATTCCAAATTATATGCACATTTAGCGCACATACGTTTCTTTTTCGTATTTTCTGCTTTGTGGCTTCTTTATAATTGATTGTTTTTTGTTTTAGCAATGCCCTCTTCCACTAACAGATACAAAAAACGAAAGAAGTGGTCTGAAGAAGATATGGCTGCTGCAGTACAAGCGGTTCGAGAAAAAAAGATGGGGTATTTGAAGGCAGCGAAGACTTATAACGTACCGAGAACTACTGTATTTCGGCTTGCAAATCAAACAGAACTTTCAATGCCAGAACTTCTTTCAAAAAAGATTGGTCGCAAACCACTCTTTGATAAAGCGTTTGAGGACATGCTAGTAAATTACGCCCTTATAATGGAAGATAAATTATATGGTTTGACTCAAATGGATATGAGAAGAATAGCGTACCAACTTGCTATCAGAAATAATCTGTCGAATCCATTTAAGGATGAAAAAGCTGGCAGATACTGGCTAAAAGGATTTCTCTCAAGACATAGTCAAATACTATCAATGCGGAAGCCTTCTGGGACATCATTTGCTAGAGCAAGCGGATTTACGAAAGAAAGAATGAACGAGTTCTACGATAAACTTGACAAAGTTTACGATGAGAAAAAATTTACTGCTGATCGTATTTTCAATGTGGATGAGACAGGACTATCTATTGTCCAATCTAAATACCCTAAAATAATTGCTCGTCGCGGCAAAAAACAAATTGGAGCCATAACGTCCGCTGAAAGGGGTTCGCTCATTACAATAGTGACCTGTATGAGTCCTGCTGGGATTTTTGTTCCGCCAATGATAATTTTCCCCCGCAAAAATATGAGCGAAATTTTAATGAAAGGCGCACCTGTGGAATCGATTGGACGGACACATCCATCTGGTTGGATACAGACATATTTGTTCACGCAATGGTTCCAGCATTTTATTGACTATGTGAAACCATCTGCTGCGGCACCAGTTCTTCTCTTGTTCGATGGTTACTTTAGTCATACAAAAAACCTGGAGCTCATAGATAAAGCGAGACAAAATCACGTAACCTTGGTTTCACTGCCACCACACTGCACACATAAAATTCAGCCCATGGATAAGTCCTTCATGGGTCCCCTTAAGACCTATTATAGCGAGGAAATTCGGGCGTGGTTGCGCGAAAATAATAGACCCCTTACAGCTTATGATATTGTAGAGTTATTTGGTAAAGCATATCGTAAATGCCAGACTGGAGAATTTGCAGCTAGAGGCTTCAGTATCGGGGGAATTTATCCATTTAATAGATACGTCTTCACAGATTCAGACTATGTCGCAGCAGCTCATGATGTAAAACAAGATCAATCAAACATCAGTGAACTGCCAGATGAACCTCCATCGATAACAGAACCATGTCATCTCAGCGCAAACTGTCAAGAGGACAGAATTGAAATCACAAATCTGTCACCGTCCATTATTCAGCCTGGAAGCTCTTGTGATACTTCAATAAATTACAAAGAACAACCGAATACTTCAGCGTTATTAGAACAGGAAAAAGAAAACCGCCCAGGCCCTTCTCATAGTGGCTCCGTTACCACACCGTTTGATATTTCGCCTATTCCCACAACTAGGAAACGCACATCTAATAGAGGTCGCAAATCGGGAAATCTGAAATTATTTCAAATTCACCTTATAAAAACGAACTGGAGGAAGCAGAAAAGAGAAGGATTGAAAGGCAGAAAAAACTAACTAAAAATGAAGATCAGGATAAACATGTAGTTCAAGGAAAGGGCAAAGAGAACAGCAAGGGCAAGGGAAAAGGAGTAAATAAAGGGAAAGAGCAAGAAAAAGAAAAGGAAAAGAGAAAAGGTAAAGAAATTGATGAAAAAGAGAAACGTAAGGGTAAGACTGCTGCTAAAAGAATGATATCACAAGAAGAGTTTACGGACTCTGATAGTGATGCTACATTCAAGTCGGACGAGTCAGAAGAGGAATTACCCAAGGAAGATCAGGTGAAACAGCCAACAGAAGATGATTGCACTTGTTTCTTTTGCGATGGAAAATATGCAGATGATCGAAGGGGAGAGGAATGGGTCCAATGTCTCATGTGCGAAGGATGGGTCCATAGCGAATGCGCTGGCTATGACCACGGTTACTATGTGTGCGATTTTTGCAAAGAATAGAAAAGTCTATATATAGTCTTAAGAGTTTAAGTAAGACTTATCTAGATTTCAGAACTGAACTTTAAGTTAAAAGTCTATTATTTAAAAGTGAACATAATTTGGAATACCATATTCCAAATTATATTCATATTAGATATTTGGTGCCTTTCAGTGATTTTATATATAAACCAAAGTTTATGCCATTTATAGAAGAATAAGACTGTTGTTTATTTTAATGCTATTAATACACTAGTTTCAGTTACTGTAAGTGTGGTTTTCACTCTTGTTGCTCTCAACCCTTGGTGAGTATGATTGTTTTACAAACTGGTATTCCAAATTACCTGCATTTACTCTAATATATCATACATTGACATTGCCAAACCTCAGTTATTCCAGAAAAACAGAATCGGTTATAAGTAAGGTGATGGAGAGGTGCATCAATCGCGAGCTGCTGGACTACCTCGAACGTCACAGCTTGATTAGCGACAGGCAATATGGTTTCCGGCTTAGCGATCCACAGGAAATTTCCTGGCTTACGTCACGCAATTGTGGAGTAAGCTCATCCTTATGGTGAGCCTCATGTTGTCGTTCATGACATCACGAAAGCGTTTGATCAGCTGTGGCACGCTGCTTTCTTAAGCAAACTTCCATCCTATGGCCTCCCAGAAAAGCTTTGCAGATGGGTGGCTGACTTCATCCCACAACGTCAACGCGAGTGTTCCTCAGGGATCGGTCTTGGCTCCGACACTGTTCCTCTTACATATCAACGACAATCCACAGCTTCGTTGATGACAATACTCTACATGCATGAATTCAGAGTGTCAAGCCGATCTCTGCCGCTGAGCTGGAAAAAAGAAGACCAGCGACGACTTCCTTTCTGTCGAGAGACTTAAAAGTTATCACTACTTGAGGACGCATCAATCTTGTACAGTTTAATCCTTCCAAAACACAGTACTGTACCTTGACGAACAAAAATCGTCCTAACGCTCATCCGGTCATTCATTTCGGCTGGTCGGAGTTCAGATCTCCGAGGATCTGATCTGGTACAAACACATCTCGTCAGTAGCGGCAGAGGGAAAAAGCTAGGTTATTTGTTTAGAGCTCTGTACAAAGCCTAGATAAGGCCTAGCCGAAAGTATTGCCCACACGTTTGGGGTGCTACCGCCCCGACTACATTATTTATGCTCGATGCTGTCCAGAGGAGGGCTGTCCAACTAATCGATGACTTTTGTCCAACAGACAGTCTCGGGACCCTTTCACACCGGCGGGCCGTCGGCGATCTAGCTCTCTTCTACCGCTACACCAACGGGCTTTGCTCCTCAGAGCTCTCTTCCATGATGCCGCCGCTCGATGTGCCTGCTAGACAGACCCGCCTGACTTTGGCCTCCCATCCTAACCGTGGCGAACTTCGTACATCAGAACTAGCCGATACGACCGCTCTTTTGTATCGAGGGTGTCTAGATTGTGGAACAATCTACAGGAGGAAGCTTTTCCCAGTTCTATTAACCTTAGGCAGTTCAAAATTCGGATTAACAAAATTTATTTATATTAACACCCAACAGCAAATTCATGGCCAATCAAAGAAATACATCGCTGAATTTAGAACAGAAAAGTTCATTTAGGAAGTTTTGAAATTCAAAGTACTTCCGGAAAGAAACGGAAAAAACTGAATTTTTCCAAAACCGTTTTAATTTTTTTCTGACTTTATTTGTATCGGGGTTTAAAAATAGAGAATTTCAATATAACTTTTCATCTCTTGTAATCCATCTCTAACTCAATTTTTTCTTAAGGACGTCATACGGGATCTTTGCGCAGAAGAATAGAGTTTTTAATTCTGATTTCAATTGACACATTGACATCGCCTAATCTTAGTTATTCCAGAAAAACAGAAGATCCTAGGTAGGCCTGGAAATTATCAGATTTGATTTCTTTCGTACCAGACCTCAAATGGAACATAGCAACACAGTGTGGAAGAATAAAAATACGAGTACTACGAGCAGTGAATAATGTTCAGAGAAGGATAAGGCTTTGCCTACAAAACATCTGCTATGATTTACCTCTGCTTATTTATGATTATTCTTGTTATAACCATCAATAAAATTTCCATTTTGAGTTCAGGTTTCACCATACCTTTTTATTTTCATCGAACAGCAAACTCATGAACAACTAAGGAAATACATTACTGAATTTAGGACTGAAAAGTCCATGTAAATGTACAGGTACAAAATTCAAATATAGCGCAGCGCCCATATGGAAAAACAAAGTTGGTGATGAAAGTCGAAAGAAGGAATGTCGAATTGGAAATTTGACTACGCCATCTTGTAGAGGACAATAAGTTAATAACGATGATAACTTGCAATTTATTTAGAAATCCCATCTCAAATAAAGTTAGGAAAACATAAAAGTGATAAATTTGGTATTCGAAACAAATGACTATAGTCTAAATCACGAAAGATGGCGATTATGTCATTATTTTAGTCTGCAGTAAAGACAAACGACAGCGATTTGTGAAAAATTTTAATGAAGTTTCAAATATGTTAGACAGAGACAACCAGAATGTTATTGTCCAAACAAACTGTATTGCTAATTTGCATGTATCCGACAAAGATAGACGATGTTTTTATGTTGCATGATCGATCATATTTGAAAGATGAATAGTTAGGTTATGTTAAAGTAGGTTAGGTTGTTTTCGAATAATACTTTGGTTATTAAGTATCACTCCAAACCATGATATAAAATAAAAATAATCAGTGAAATAACCTAACTTCGCAAATCATAATATAAATTTGTTGTCATTATGTTCCTGACATTGTGATTTTATCATCGACATACGTCCATTGATTACTTCAGTAATTTATGGTATGACGTAATAGTCATCTTTCATGATTTTGACTATACCTGATAATTTCAAGGCCTATCTAGAAAATTCTGCTTATTTGGAATAACCATGGTTTGTCAATGTCAATGTATGACGAATTATACATCTTTGGAATCAGAATTAGAAACACCATTCATATGTGCAAAAATCCAATATGGCGTCCATAAGAAAAATAATGTTGATGGTAGAGGACAAGAGAACCGCCATAGATAGATAATAAAATTCTAATTACGCCATCTTGTAGAGGAGAAAAAGTAACAATGTTATTTTGAAATCCCGCTACAAATGAAGTTAAGAAGAAATTGAAATTATTTTGGGAACATTTAAGCGAATTCATATCTCTGACCGTTTCCAAAATACAAATGGTGAGGGTCGAGTTTGAAACACTCTGTATACTTAGTGATAGGCTGTAACTACAAGTGTGGATTCCTGAGCCAAATTCAAGTAAAAACAGGGAAGTCTTAAGCTATGTAGTTGCGACGTGCAACTGAAGGGGCCCCAGGGTAGAGCCGGATCCAGGGCACTGAGCACAGGCCTCGTCTGCCATAGGGGAAAGACAGAATATAGTGAAAAAGATCATTTAAACCTGTGCTAAAAAGCTCCGTTTCCAAAATAAAGATGTCATGGTTCAAACAACTTCACCTTTTGAGAGACGAAAAGTCTTAGCAAATTGTTGCAGAAAGTCAAAAATATGTTCATAACATCAGAATTCTCTAGCTAACGATCAAAGTTGATTTGAGTTCACTGAAACAATTTTTAGACATTCAAGAAAGTTGTTTTTATTTTTTTCTTCGAGAAATAACTGAGATACGGAAAGATGCCTAGAGACAAAAACTTGTATTAGCTGCCTAATCTAAAAAATATACTTTTTTCTGAAAAATTAGTAGTACCTGTTTTTATCAATGTTATCCGTAAGACTGCCCCCGAGATGCCACTGGAGTTTATGATTATTCAGTTAGTGCTAACTTATTGTCTTTTTGCAATTAACAAAACTGCCAAAAATTAACAAGACCGGCTCGAAGATCTTTGAGATATTGGTTAACAAACTGTTTTACCGTGTATCCTGTATCTTGAAAACCAGACTTTTTAGGACACATATATTTATGTGTGCTTTTCTACTTGAAGGTTCAGCCCTTGTAATTACGGCCTGTCATTAAGGAACTCTCTATATGTATATGTAAAAGGAGATGAAACCGTTCGACTATGCTTACCACGACTTTGCAAGGAATTTTCCCAGATCCAATACCTATTTTTAGAAGAAATTCCATCGAAGGAAATGAATGAAAACATTCTGCAAAAGAATATGATATTGAAGTTTTCTGAGACGGGCGTATATTTCTTCTTCTCTTAGTGAAGATAACAATGAGCTCCACTTTCTAGCAAGGTGCGCCATCGAACAATCAATGGCGCCTGCAGCGCCTCTGCCTCCGGTTTTGTCTGTCTTTGTGACCGAAAGGCACATATCAGGTTGCGCGCATTAGAATTTTTATTTTACGTGTCCAGACTTCCATAGAAAGAGATCAAGTTCGTAGTATTGTCATATTATGGGCACGGGCGCCAAGTTGTCAATAGTTCATTCAGTGAGGAGATGCGTCTTTTGCTTTTTTGACTGAGGATGAGCAGGGTTGAGCTTTGTGACGACATCTAAGAAGGGGCATCTGCCTTCACTTCCTGTACATTCAAAAACTGAATATGATACCTATATTTTGCTGAATAAGGGCAAAAAATCGAGGAAAGTTTATTAGACTGATTTACCACCTTTTATATTTTACATATGAAACGTAACTAGAGTGGGCGCACAACTCAGATACACAGGTTTTCTATATGTAAATATAAAAACAAATTAAAATTAAACTTGTTAATAAGCAACTCGACAAATAATCTTACATGTTTCTTACAAAAACAAAATCTTTAGCTTTTATACATGTTGTATAACAGGTATTACTTAAAACCAATTATCATGATATAGGACTGTAGTCAAACCCCGGTCAGTTGTTACTTCCATTATTTTTAATTTTACCACCATTATAAATCCGTTAGTACCCTCGCGTGTTTTAGTTCGTGATTAGCGAATGAAAAGCTAATTTAGTATTTTTCATTTTTTTGCACCAGCTGATGAAGAAATGTGTTTTTTTCTATTTGAGTTTACAGTATTGTCGTTCTATATACAACTTATTTTGTTCAATATGTATTGTTTTCTCTGAAACTTGTAACAAATAGTCTTTCGGTTATGTATTTACAATCTACACGTATGTATGTTTCAAAAATGATCAAGTTATATCAAGACAACTGGAATTCTCTAGTACTTGACAGACAGGCGTAAACACTACTTAAACTGATATCACATTGGTAATATCTAGTCAAAACAAGTGAAGTTCAAGTCAAGTAGCTTGAAAATCATGTCAAGTAGTGGATTTCTAAACGTATATTATTTATATATTAAGGGCGTTAATCGAGCAGCTGCTGCCCGCAGCGAGAAATGATGGCCCAAGACACAAAACGGCGCTGTCCCTTACATGCCCAAGTACTTACTTACATACCTTAGTGCCATTATTGTCCGAGCACTCTTATCGCATAGCGCCGATAGATATAACAATGACGGCCTTTTCCAGAGAGGAATGTATAGATTTATACCACTTTAAGCATTTCTTGATCGTACGACAACACTGTCAGAGTAAAGCGAACGCAATGTTTTCATCGCAGAACGGGCATAGAAAAGGGACGCTGCCGCCACACGATGAAGTCTGACAAAGATAGAAGAAACCACGTGCGTTGACACATTAATTTGTTTCGCTCTCATTTTCAAGTACTCCGATTTATCAAGTAACATGGGAATTTCAAGATGTCAAAATAATGGGATAAATAAATACTATCAACAACAATAATAAAATAAACTGCATCTACTTGTAGTAAGCAATCCTTATCAGTTATAGTCAAAAAGGTTTTTTCTTTATCATTATTTATCCAGCGGAAGAAATCTAACTTCTCTTAATACTTTATTTAAAAATGCACTAGATGTTTCAAGAACGTCGGTGGCCTATAGAACAATTTCCTTTTTTTCTATATGGATCAAAATTTACCATTTTCTAATCCACTGATGTAGTCTCGGTCACAAAAATATTTGTATGTATTGGATACAATGTTAATGTCAATATCATAATCTAGGTACTCCAAAGACATCATTCTTTTTTCATGTCTTGATTACAACTTCAACACCCTGTAAGGGTGGCATTTCAGGTCCCACGCAGATCATAAGATCTGAAACTGACCTTGAGAGGGGCAAATCTATTCAAAGAGAGAGATCACTCGCTCCAAAATGCAAGCATAGTACTCTCGGGGTTATACTCATTGCTAAACGTTTTTGTGCCTGGCCGGATGTTAGAACCACAAGATTTGTCTGGCTAAGCAAATAAAGTTTTAAAATAGTTTCCTAAATAATATATTATATGGAAATACCAGGAAATAAACAACAATTTTTCAATAAAGTCCGTATTCCAAACAAATGACTCATAATTTCAAGGCCTGCCTAGGAAATTCTATTTTTATTTAAATAACTGAGGTTATGACATATTATATCAGAATTAAAAACTCTATTTGTCTATGCAAAAATCCAATATGGCGTTCATTAGAAAAAATAAAGTTGATGCCGGAGGACAAGAGACGAATCGTCATATTGTAATTCTAATTATACCATCTTGTGGAGGAGAAACAGTGGCAATGTTTATGTGCAATTTTTTTAAAATCCCACTAGAAATAAAGTCAGGAATAACTTGAAACGATTTTGGTTTCGGTTTTTCCGTCTCTTTCCGGAAGTATTTTGAATTTCACAACTTTATAGGCAGCATCGAGGTCGAATTTGAAACACTCGGGATATAAAAATCTGCTATCAGAATTTAAGTAAAGTTAGACTTATTCAACTCACTTTTCTCGCCTGTTATTTGTAAATCGGATCATTATCCAACTTAGCAGATATGCAGGTATTTTTTTATACCGGAACAGCCGCGCAGGCAGAAGCCTAAATACCGGTATCCCGCGGCTGCTATCAAGATCCCAAAGAAATTTTGTTAATCCGGTTTTTGAATTGAAAGTTGTTTAGTGGAACTGGGAAAAGCTTCTTCTTGTAGATTGTTCGCCAATATCCACACCCTCGGGACAAAGGAACGGTCATATCGGCCAGTTCTGGATGTACGAAGTTTGACACGGTTCAGATGGGAGACCAAAGTCAGGCTGGTCTCTCTAGGAGGTACATCGCGCGGCGGCATCATGGTAGAGAGCTCTGAGGAGCAAAGCCCGTTGGTGTAGCGATAGAAGAGAGCTAGATCGCCGACGGCCCGGCGGTGCGAAAGGGTCCCGAGACTGTCTGTAAGAGAAGAGCCATCTCTCCAAGATAAGGTAGAGAAGAAGTCTCTGAGCCCCTCCCAGTCGGCATGTCTGTAATGTCAAATTTTGCGGCCTGGGCGAGTTTCTGCTGCCACAACGGGTTCTGACCGAAACCTAACCTCCACAATACCGTGGTCTGAGTTACCCAGGGGGGACAGGACAGCAGTGCTGTAAGGGACAGGATGCGTGGTCAGAAAGAGGTCCAGCAAGCTACTGGCATGCGACGAGGCGCGGTGGAAAAAGTAAGGCTCGTCACCTGCTGGGTCCTCCCTTGAGTAAGAGCGAACGCTTTAACTGCACGACCTGCTGCATCGGTCTTGTTTGAGCCTAACCACAGCTCATTATGGGTATTGAAATCACCGAGGAGAACTACCTCTGAAGCGGGGTGGTTGATGTTCGGAGTCGATCTTGATGGCGACGTATTCACGTAGGTCATCCCAGTTATGGTCCGAGGGAGAGCGATAAAGGCAGCAAATAAATTTGGGTGAAGTTGAGGCGAAGCCACAGAATGTCCTTCCAGTCTGATTCCAAAGAAACATATCTGGAGCATGAAAGACTGCTGCGGACAAAAGCCACAACTCCCCCGTTCTTTCTCAGATTGGAATGCACCTCGTAATTTGGGAAGCTAAGATGGTCAATCGGTGCACATTCTGAGATTGAAAAAACATAGAGAGTGTCGCAGAAGTCGACGTCAAGCCGGAAACGGGGGATAGGCCAAGTTTAACAAAATTTAAATCGTGTACTTTTCAAAGTCTAGGCTCAAAAAAAGAAATCGGAAAAATCTACACCCTGTGATTATCTTTTAGTTCTCGATACTTAAAATCTCATTTTTTTCTTAGACGGAGTGGCGGACAGTGTCATTCCACGTAGTAACAGCAAGACAGATAGTAACGTCACTTTTATTAGTTGATGACTGTGTAGAGCTACCATATATTTGTACACTGTACAGGAATACGCCAGATACACCTCATTTATGGGGAATGTAGATGCAATGCCAGATCTGCAGCTAGGCTTTATCGTGAGAGGTACCCAAATGCCGATCACCGAATTTCCTTTCCTCACGTGGACGTCGTACTACAAGCAGTCGAAGAAGACGCGAGTGCTTCAGTACGTCAAATAGAAGCAAGCGCGGGAGTGCCCAAAAGTACAGCCGACCGAATCTTGCGAAAGAACGAGCTCGACCCGTACCACGTACATCGAGTACAATCACTAAAATCCCGGGATTACTTTCCAAGAGTTAAGTTTTGTCAATGTTACATGCACGGGTACTACGCATGATGAAAAGTGACATAACGTAGGTTTTTCTACAAGATGTACACGCAAGCGCAAGGTGATGTACACTTGTGAAGTCGTTTTGTAGCTGTGTGTGTTGCTTAGGCCCGTATCGTCAGTCTTCCTTACAATTGTTGGGCGCCTTTATGGCCTCCTTGATTGTCATAGTTTTCTACTTCTCCGTGTCAGAACTCTATTTTGAGGTTATGTCACAAACATCTATTTGCATCAAATTGTGCTTGCTTTTGAGTTATATCATGTTTTATCAGCCTGAAATTTCCTAGAATTTAAAATGAAAACATATCTAATTCTAAATTACACCCTTTGAGCTGCCAGAGTTCTTGAATGGAGAAATTTATTTAGACGTTTTATAAAATCATATAGCAAATTTACCCGAGCAGATGAATAGGGCGGTATGGTACACTTTCGTGGCCAGCCCGTTCACCTGGCTTAAATACACTCGATTTTTTTACTGGGGAGCGGTGAAAGGAAAAGTTTACTCAAACTCAATCGAAAATTTAGTTGAGCTACGGGACAGAATAACTGAAGCAACTGAATTTGTTAACAACGGAAGATTCGCCCGGCTGATAACCCTACCATTTTTAAAAGATGTCAGGCTTGCATTGCTGCTGAAGTAAGACAGTTTGAACGTTTATTATGAATTTAGTGAATACATTCACAAATTAATGAACGTGGCATTATTATCTGTCTTGCCATAATTATGTAGAATGACAATGTCCATCACTCCGTCTGAGAAAAAATTGAAATTTGTAGTTATGGAACTAAAAGATCATCACAGGGTGTAGATTTTTCCAATTTTTCCGATTTTTTTTAAAGCTTTTAATTTAAAAGTTCACGACTTAGTTTTTTTTAATATTTTCCTGATAACTATTATGACTTGGTCTTTTACCCTCTATAAACGCTAATGAATGCCCCAACCATTTATCTTTTAGAAAATAAATAATGACTGGCAGCCCTGTGGTCTTATACTATGTATATCTGAACATACTCATTCAGCTGTTCAAGCCACACTGGCTGTTACATGTCTCTTACGTCATTTTGAAAACGTCTGTTAGCAGTGCCAAAATTTCAAACTAACCCTACATGTTATAAACGCTTATTGTATTTCTACTATGAAAAAGGTACTCTAATAATCTGTAATCACGAGTGAGCAACTTATGACTCTAGATGTAAGCGAAGAATTCAAGGATGCAGCTGTTGATTTGCTCTCTGGAGTTGTTGGTAAGTTTTACTTGAATTTTATATACACCGCCTACTGAAAACACGGAAAGAATCCATGTACACAACTATTATTTATTGAATTTATAATCGTAGAGTATTGCCCACACGTTTGGGGTGCTACCGCCCCGACTACATTATTTATGCTCGATGCTGTCCAGAGGAGGGCTGTCCAACTAATCGATGACTTTTGTCCAACAGACAGTCTCGGGACCCTTTCACACCGGCGGGCCGTCGGCGATCTAGCTCTCTTCTACCGCTACACCAACGGGCTTTGCTCCTCAGAGCTCTCTTCCATGATGCCGCCGCTCGATGTGCCTGCTAGACAGACCCGCCTGACTTTGGCCTCCCATCCTAACCGTGGCGAACTTCGTACATCAGAACTAGCCGATACGACCGCTCTTTTGTATCGAGGGTGTCTAGATTGTGGAACAATCTACAGGAGGAAGCTTTTCCCAGTTCTATTAACCTTAGGCAGTTCAAAATTCGGATTAACAAAATTTATTTATATTAACACCCAACAGCAAATTCATGGCCAATCAAAGAAATACATCGCTGAATTTAGAACAGAAAAGTTCATTTAGGAAGTTTTGAAATTCAAAGTACTTCCGGAAAGAAACGGAAAAAACTGAATTTTTCCAAAACCGTTTTAATTTTTTTCTGACTTTATTTGTATCGGGGTTTAAAAATAGAGAATTTCAATATAACTTTTCATCTCTTGTAATCCATCTCTAACTCAATTTTTTCTTAAGGACGTCATACGGGATCTTTGCGCAGAAGAATAGAGTTTTTAATTCTGATTTCAATTGACACATTGACATCGCCTAATCTTAGTTATTCCAGAAAAACAGAAGATCCTAGGTAGGCCTGGAAATTATCAGATTTGATTTCTTTCGTACCAGACCTCAAATGGAACATAGCAACACAGTGTGGAAGAATAAAAATACGAGTACTACGAGCAGTGAATAATGTTCAGAGAAGGATAAGGCTTTGCCTACAAAACATCTGCTATGATTTACCTCTGCTTATTTATGATTATTCTTGTTATAACCATCAATAAAATTTCCATTTTGAGTTCAGGTTTCACCATACCTTTTTATTTTCATCGAACAGCAAACTCATGAACAACTAAGGAAATACATTACTGAATTTAGGACTGAAAAGTCCATGTAAATGTACAGGTACAAAATTCAAATATAGCGCAGCGCCCATATGGAAAAACAAAGTTGGTGATGAAAGTCGAAAGAAGGAATGTCGAATTGGAAATTTGACTACGCCATCTTGTAGAGGACAATAAGTTAATAACGATGATAACTTGCAATTTATTTAGAAATCCCATCTCAAATAAAGTTAGGAAAACATAAAAGTGATAAATTTGGTATTCGAAACAAATGACTATAGTCTAAATCACGAAAGATGGCGATTATGTCATTATTTTAGTCTGCAGTAAAGACAAACGACAGCGATTTGTGAAAAATTTTAATGAAGTTTCAAATATGTTAGACAGAGACAACCAGAATGTTATTGTCCAAACAAACTGTATTGCTAATTTGCATGTATCCGACAAAGATAGACGATGTTTTTATGTTGCATGATCGATCATATTTGAAAGATGAATAGTTAGGTTATGTTAAAGTAGGTTAGGTTGTTTTCGAATAATACTTTGGTTATTAAGTATCACTCCAAACCATGATATAAAATAAAAATAATCAGTGAAATAACCTAACTTCGCAAATCATAATATAAATTTGTTGTCATTATGTTCCTGACATTGTGATTTTATCATCGACATACGTCCATTGATTACTTCAGTAATTTATGGTATGACGTAATAGTCATCTTTCATGATTTTGACTATACCTGATAATTTCAAGGCCTATCTAGAAAATTCTGCTTATTTGGAATAACCATGGTTTGTCAATGTCAATGTATGACGAATTATACATCTTTGGAATCAGAATTAGAAACACCATTCATATGTGCAAAAATCCAATATGGCGTCCATAAGAAAAATAATGTTGATGGTAGAGGACAAGAGAACCGCCATAGATAGATAATAAAATTCTAATTACGCCATCTTGTAGAGGAGAAAAAGTAACAATGTTATTTTGAAATCCCGCTACAAATGAAGTTAAGAAGAAATTGAAATTATTTTGGGAACATTTAAGCGAATTCATATCTCTGACCGTTTCCAAAATACAAATGGTGAGGGTCGAGTTTGAAACACTCTGTATACTTAGTGATAGGCTGTAACTACAAGTGTGGATTCCTGAGCCAAATTCAAGTAAAAACAGGGAAGTCTTAAGCTATGTAGTTGCGACGTGCAACTGAAGGGGCCCCAGGGTAGAGCCGGATCCAGGGCACTGAGCACAGGCCTCGTCTGCCATAGGGGAAAGACAGAATATAGTGAAAAAGATCATTTAAACCTGTGCTAAAAAGCTCCGTTTCCAAAATAAAGATGTCATGGTTCAAACAACTTCACCTTTTGAGAGACGAAAAGTCTTAGCAAATTGTTGCAGAAAGTCAAAAATATGTTCATAACATCAGAATTCTCTAGCTAACGATCAAAGTTGATTTGAGTTCACTGAAACAATTTTTAGACATTCAAGAAAGTTGTTTTTATTTTTTTCTTCGAGAAATAACTGAGATACGGAAAGATGCCTAGAGACAAAAACTTGTATTAGCTGCCTAATCTAAAAAATATACTTTTTTCTGAAAAATTAGTAGTACCTGTTTTTATCAATGTTATCCAAAGACTGCCCCCGAGATGCCACTGGAGTTTATGATTATTCAGTTAGTGCTAACTTATTGTCTTTTTGCAATTAACAAAACTGCCAAAAATTAACAAGACCGGCTCGAAGATCTTTGAGATATTGGTTAACAAACTGTTTTACCGTGTATCCTGTATCTTGAAAACCAGACTTTTTAGGACACATATATTTATGTGTGCTTTTCTACTTGAAGGTTCAGCCCTTGTAATTACGGCCTGTCATTAAGGAACTCTCTATATGTATATGTAAAAGGAGATGAAACCGTTCGACTATGCTTACCACGACTTTGCAAGGAATTTTCCCAGATCCAATACCTATTTTTAGAAGAAATTCCATCGAAGGAAATGAATGAAAACATTCTGCAAAAGAATATGATATTGAAGTTTTCTGAGACGGGCGTATATTTCTTCTTCTCTTAGTGAAGATAACAATGAGCTCCACTTTCTAGCAAGGTGCGCCATCGAACAATCAATGGCGCCTGCAGCGCCTCTGCCTCCGGTTTTGTCTGTCTTTGTGACCGAAAGGCACATATCAGGTTGCGCGCATTAGAATTTTTATTTTACGTGTCCAGACTTCCATAGAAAGAGATCAAGTTCGTAGTATTGTCATATTATGGGCACGGGCGCCAAGTTGTCAATAGTTCATTCAGTGAGGAGATGCGTCTTTTGCTTTTTTGACTGAGGATGAGCAGGGTTGAGCTTTGTGACGACATCTAAGAAGGGGCATCTGCCTTCACTTCCTGTACATTCAAAAACTGAATATGATACCTATATTTTGCTGAATAAGGGCAAAAAATCGAGGAAAGTTTATTAGACTGATTTACCACCTTTTATATTTTACATATGAAACGTAACTAGAGTGGGCGCACAACTCAGATACACAGGTTTTCTATATGTAAATATAAAAACAAATTAAAATTAAACTTGTTAATAAGCAACTCGACAAATAATCTTACATGTTTCTTACAAAAACAAAATCTTTAGCTTTTATACATGTTGTATAACAGGTATTACTTAAAACCAATTATCATGATATAGGACTGTAGTCAAACCCCGGTCAGTTGTTACTTCCATTATTTTTAATTTTACCACCATTATAAATCCGTTAGTACCCTCGCGTGTTTTAGTTCGTGATTAGCGAATGAAAAGCTAATTTAGTATTTTTCATTTTTTTGCACCAGCTGATGAAGAAATGTGTTTTTTTCTATTTGAGTTTACAGTATTGTCGTTCTATATACAACTTATTTTGTTCAATATGTATTGTTTTCTCTGAAACTTGTAACAAATAGTCTTTCGGTTATGTATTTACAATCTACACGTATGTATGTTTCAAAAATGATCAAGTTATATCAAGACAACTGGAATTCTCTAGTACTTGACAGACAGGCGTAAACACTACTTAAACTGATATCACATTGGTAATATCTAGTCAAAACAAGTGAAGTTCAAGTCAAGTAGCTTGAAAATCATGTCAAGTAGTGGATTTCTAAACGTATATTATTTATATATTAAGGGCGTTAATCGAGCAGCTGCTGCCCGCAGCGAGAAATGATGGCCCAAGACACAAAACGGCGCTGTCCCTTACATGCCCAAGTACTTACTTACATACCTTAGTGCCATTATTGTCCGAGCACTCTTATCGCATAGCGCCGATAGATATAACAATGACGGCCTTTTCCAGAGAGGAATGTATAGATTTATACCACTTTAAGCATTTCTTGATCGTACGACAACACTGTCAGAGTAAAGCGAACGCAATGTTTTCATCGCAGAACGGGCATAGAAAAGGGACGCTGCCGCCACACGATGAAGTCTGACAAAGATAGAAGAAACCACGTGCGTTGACACATTAATTTGTTTCGCTCTCATTTTCAAGTACTCCGATTTATCAAGTAACATGGGAATTTCAAGATGTCAAAATAATGGGATAAATAAATACTATCAACAACAATAATAAAATAAACTGCATCTACTTGTAGTAAGCAATCCTTATCAGTTATAGTCAAAAAGGTTTTTTCTTTATCATTATTTATCCAGCGGAAGAAATCTAACTTCTCTTAATACTTTATTTAAAAATGCACTAGATGTTTCAAGAACGTCGGTGGCCTATAGAACAATTTCCTTTTTTTCTATATGGATCAAAATTTACCATTTTCTAATCCACTGATGTAGTCTCGGTCACAAAAATATTTGTATGTATTGGATACAATGTTAATGTCAATATCATAATCTAGGTACTCCAAAGACATCATTCTTTTTTCATGTCTTGATTACAACTTCAACACCCTGTAAGGGTGGCATTTCAGGTCCCACGCAGATCATAAGATCTGAAACTGACCTTGAGAGGGGCAAATCTATTCAAAGAGAGAGATCACTCGCTCCAAAATGCAAGCATAGTACTCTCGGGGTTATACTCATTGCTAAACGTTTTTGTGCCTGGCCGGATGTTAGAACCACAAGATTTGTCTGGCTAAGCAAATAAAGTTTTAAAATAGTTTCCTAAATAATATATTATATGGAAATACCAGGAAATAAACAACAATTTTTCAATAAAGTCCGTATTCCAAACAAATGACTCATAATTTCAAGGCCTGCCTAGGAAATTCTATTTTTATTTAAATAACTGAGGTTATGACATATTATATCAGAATTAAAAACTCTATTTGTCTATGCAAAAATCCAATATGGCGTTCATTAGAAAAAATAAAGTTGATGCCGGAGGACAAGAGACGAATCGTCATATTGTAATTCTAATTATACCATCTTGTGGAGGAGAAACAGTGGCAATGTTTATGTGCAATTTTTTTAAAATCCCACTAGAAATAAAGTCAGGAATAACTTGAAACGATTTTGGTTTCGGTTTTTCCGTCTCTTTCCGGAAGTATTTTGAATTTCACAACTTTATAGGCAGCATCGAGGTCGAATTTGAAACACTCGGGATATAAAAATCTGCTATCAGAATTTAAGTAAAGTTAGACTTATTCAACTCACTTTTCTCGCCTGTTATTTGTAAATCGGATCATTATCCAACTTAGCAGATATGCAGGTATTTTTTTATACCGGAACAGCCGCGCAGGCAGAAGCCTAAATACCGGTATCCCGCGGCTGCTATCAAGATCCCAAAGAAATTTTGTTAATCCGGTTTTTGAATTGAAAGTTGTTTAGTGGAACTGGGAAAAGCTTCTTCTTGTAGATTGTTCGCCAATATCCACACCCTCGGGACAAAGGAACGGTCATATCGGCCAGTTCTGGATGTACGAAGTTTGACACGGTTCAGATGGGAGACCAAAGTCAGGCTGGTCTCTCTAGGAGGTACATCGCGCGGCGGCATCATGGTAGAGAGCTCTGAGGAGCAAAGCCCGTTGGTGTAGCGATAGAAGAGAGCTAGATCGCCGACGGCCCGGCGGTGCGAAAGGGTCCCGAGACTGTCTGTAAGAGAAGAGCCATCTCTCCAAGATAAGGTAGAGAAGAAGTCTCTGAGCCCCTCCCAGTCGGCATGTCTGTAATGTCAAATTTTGCGGCCTGGGCGAGTTTCTGCTGCCACAACGGGTTCTGACCGAAACCTAACCTCCACAATACCGTGGTCTGAGTTACCCAGGGGGGACAGGACAGCAGTGCTGTAAGGGACAGGATGCGTGGTCAGAAAGAGGTCCAGCAAGCTACTGGCATGCGACGAGGCGCGGTGGAAAAAGTAAGGCTCGTCACCTGCTGGGTCCTCCCTTGAGTAAGAGCGAACGCTTTAACTGCACGACCTGCTGCATCGGTCTTGTTTGAGCCTAACCACAGCTCATTATGGGTATTGAAATCACCGAGGAGAACTACCTCTGAAGCGGGGTGGTTGATGTTCGGAGTCGATCTTGATGGCGACGTATTCACGTAGGTCATCCCAGTTATGGTCCGAGGGAGAGCGATAAAGGCAGCAAATAAATTTGGGTGAAGTTGAGGCGAAGCCACAGAATGTCCTTCCAGTCTGATTCCAAAGAAACATATCTGGAGCATGAAAGACTGCTGCGGACAAAAGCCACAACTCCCCCGTTCTTTCTCAGATTGGAATGCACCTCGTAATTTGGGAAGCTAAGATGGTCAATCGGTGCACATTCTGAGATTGAAAAAACATAGAGAGTGTCGCAGAAGTCGACGTCAAGCCGGAAACGGGGGATAGGCCAAGTTTAACAAAATTTAAATCGTGTACTTTTCAAAGTCTAGGCTCAAAAAAAGAAATCGGAAAAATCTACACCCTGTGATTATCTTTTAGTTCTCGATACTTAAAATCTCATTTTTTTCTTAGACGGAGTGGCGGACAGTGTCATTCCACGTAGTAACAGCAAGACAGATAGTAACGTCACTTTTATTAGTTGATGACTGTGTAGAGCTACCATATATTTGTACACTGTACAGGAATACGCCAGATACACCTCATTTATGGGGAATGTAGATGCAATGCCAGATCTGCAGCTAGGCTTTATCGTGAGAGGTACCCAAATGCCGATCACCGAATTTCCTTTCCTCACGTGGACGTCGTACTACAAGCAGTCGAAGAAGACGCGAGTGCTTCAGTACGTCAAATAGAAGCAAGCGCGGGAGTGCCCAAAAGTACAGCCGACCGAATCTTGCGAAAGAACGAGCTCGACCCGTACCACGTACATCGAGTACAATCACTAAAATCCCGGGATTACTTTCCAAGAGTTAAGTTTTGTCAATGTTACATGCACGGGTACTACGCATGATGAAAAGTGACATAACGTAGGTTTTTCTACAAGATGTACACGCAAGCGCAAGGTGATGTACACTTGTGAAGTCGTTTTGTAGCTGTATGTGTTGCTTAGGCCCGTATCGTCAGTCTTCCTTACAATTGTTGGGCGCCTTTATGGCCTCCTTGATTGTCATAGTTTTCTACTTCTCCGTGTCAGAACTCTATTTTGAGGTTATGTCACAAACATCTATTTGCATCAAATTGTGCTTGCTTTTGAGTTATATCATGTTTTATCAGCCTGAAATTTCCTAGAATTTAAAATGAAAACATATCTAATTCTAAATTACACCCTTTGAGCTGCCAGAGTTCTTGAATGGAGAAATTTATTTAGACGTTTTATAAAATCATATAGCAAATTTACCCGAGCAGATGAATAGGGCGGTATGGTACACTTTCGTGGCCAGCCCGTTCACCTGGCTTAAATACACTCGATTTTTTTACTGGGGAGCGGTGAAAGGAAAAGTTTACTCAAACTCAATCGAAAATTTAGTTGAGCTACGGGACAGAATAACTGAAGCAACTGAATTTGTTAACAACGGAAGATTCGCCCGGCTGATAACCCTACCATTTTTAAAAGATGTCAGGCTTGCATTGCTGCTGAAGTAAGACAGTTTGAACGTTTATTATGAATTTAGTGAATACATTCACAAATTAATGAACGTGGCATTATTATCTGTCTTGCCATAATTATGTAGAATGACAATGTCCATCACTCCGTCTGAGAAAAAATTGAAATTTGTAGTTATGGAACTAAAAGATCATCACAGGGTGTAGATTTTTCCAATTTTTCCGATTTTTTTTAAAGCTTTTAATTTAAAAGTTCACGACTTAGTTTTTTTTAATATTTTCCTGATAACTATTATGACTTGGTCTTTTACCCTCTATAAACGCTAATGAATGCCCCAACCATTTATCTTTTAGAAAATAAATAATGACTGGCAGCCCTGTGGTCTTATACTATGTATATCTGAACATACTCATTCAGCTGTTCAAGCCACACTGGCTGTTACATGTCTCTTACGTCATTTTGAAAACGTCTGTTAGCAGTGCCAAAATTTCAAACTAACCCTACATGTTATAAACGCTTATTGTATTTCTACTATGAAAAAGGTACTCTAATAATCTGTAATCACGAGTGAGCAACTTATGACTCTAGATGTAAGCGAAGAATTCAAGGATGCAGCTGTTGATTTGCTCTCTGGAGTTGTTGGTAAGTTTTACTTGAATTTTATATACACCGCCTACTGAAAACACGGAAAGAATCCATGTACACAACTATTATTTATTGAATTTATAATCGTAGAGTACAGCGACTTTTCAAGAATTGACTCAGGCTCTATATTTGGAAGTTTTTTTTCACCATGCGCCAGTCAGCGGAACCCCCGTCCCCATTGCTAATGCTCTCATTTACAGAAATGGTCGAAATTCTAAATATACCACAATATTTTCAACTTGTTTTGAATTTCTTTGAAGCATTTCACTTTCTGCGAATGGTGCAGAATTTCCTTTTTAGTAAAATGGCTTACTTGTTTATATCAGAATATTAGTAATATCACCGAGAACTTTCCTGCAATTTTTCTGAACTAGGGGGCTATGAGGGCAATTCACGACATACTTTAGCAAATGCATTCGCAAAAATATGAATGATGAATATGCAAACGATAGCTGGAAGCGCCGTCCCTAAAATCACATGATCGTGTGATAGTCCTGAAAGATACGTTTAAAAACCCAAGTTACGCTACAAATAGTACTGCTAGGTTTGATCACTTTTGAAATTTTATTATAGATTAGAGATAATGGTTAAATTATAATCATAAAACATGCATATGGATCATAAATAATGTCTTGATAGAGAAATGCCCTACGTAGATCCAGGTCGCCAAAGGAAATGGGTTTCTCTGAAATAACTTTTGAATGACACTGTGGCACACACAACTTGTGGCAGTGCGTGATGATGTCCTTAGAAACTCATTTAGATCGCCAGAAATAGACTACTCCAATGCAATATTGATGAAACCCCATATCACAATGGCCCAACGTTCACATTTTTGGAAAATTTAATCCTTAGACTAAAAAAAGATCCTCTCCTGTTTGACATCAATGAATAAACTGTTTTCGAGATAAACACCCGTGTTTAGGTACAGCGCTATCAATTTTAACATTGCATCCAGTAGAGTGGTTACGCCATTTTTAATTAGAGACCCTTAAAATCCTAGGATATCTATAAATTTTCATTACTTGACTTACTTTTAGATTTAAATCGGGAGTTTGGTGAGTGCCTGCAGTGTAAATCGAAAAATACAAGATTGTTTCTCTCAAGAAGGCCTCATTTTATTGAAATCCAAAACGAATAACTTTATTCAGCTGTGGATCCAAAAATATTTTTCAACCATTATTATACAGGGTATATTTTTTATCGATAGAGCGCTAGGGTTTATCCTTCCCTGGTGATCTAATTGAGTTTGAGCTGCCAAAATTTTGTTAAATTATACTTCTTCAAAAGTTATTTGAGAAAATCGATTTCCAGTAGCCTCCTTTAGGGGCTCGCATCTCTGTAGGAACACCCGTAGGACCTTTTACTTCCTACGCCACTAGACGAGGAAGTGAAAAATTTCAACAGTGAGATATTATGTTTTTTGGTTGATTCATGACATCACGAAAAACCATGTAACTCATTTCCGTCGGTCTGTCTGTCCGCTAATCCTTGACCCCTTTATAACTTGGGAAGTAGCGGTCGGATTTTGATGAAGTTTTCGCAGATCGTTAATACTATGCCAAGGACGAAAAAGCGTTATAGTTTTTGGAAAACGGTCCAATGGCGGCGGGGTGGTGGACAAAAAAAAATAAAACCCGCTCAAACCTCAAGGCTCCTGATCATTTTCGAAAAAAAAGATTGTAGGGATTGAACATTGGGGATTGTAGGGTTAGGGGGTTGTAAATGTTACATCTTCAGTATTAATCAAAGACGTTTTATCACTAAGAAGCTTCTGATCTTGGTACCAACGAGAAAAATCATAAAAGTCCGTTAAATAATGTGCTCTTAATTAGCAATCGTTGGCGTTGCCTGCGCAACAGGATGCTGAGACAGTGCATAGTCGAGGAGGCCACTGCCGGTTGTAGCAAGCGCAATAGGTAACTAACTGGTGCGCAGCGGCGATGTGAACACGGACACACCGTTACAGGGGGATATTTATATATTTTTGGAATATTTGGGTATTAGAAGTACGTACCACTTTAGCGTTCTGCTATGCTTTTGTAAATGATGACTTAACTGTCTTTATACTTACACATATATTTTTCTGAATTTTATGATCCTTAAATCTAACCACCCATTTCACCTTACCTTACTGACATAAATGAGAAACACGTACTTGTGTGAAGCAGATATATTTAAGCAACAGGAGACTTGTGAACAGAAGTTTGAATATTATCACAAGTTCAATACTGTCATCGTCTAGGTTTAGGTAGTCGTAGATTTTGAAAACTGATTCAGTGGCACAGGAATTGCAGACAAAAAAATAAAAGTCGCTGGAACATAGTATTACAGTGTTTCAGAGATTACTGCCCATTTTCAGATATTGTTTGGAGAGGTTGAATATTATAGGTTGCAGGATGAATGCAGTAAATGGTTGTAAATTGTTACATGCTTGGTGTCAGTTAAATTCCTTCTATTATTAAGAAGCTGCTGATCCCGGTAATATTATGCACCTGTTGACATAATGAGTCATACATGTTTTCCCAACATCTGCCATGGAAACAGAAATATGATAGATTCATTTTATATAGTTTGATAAGAAGATGTCGAACATTCATCTTACTTAAGTGAACCTACCTAGTCACGATTCGATTCCGCGTTTTAAAACGAGAATCTACTTGACGCCATTTTTTTAAAAGGAATTTGTGGCATTATTTGTGTTCTATATCTATGCGAGAGACTGACATGTTACTCGGTGACACCCTGTACACATAAAACGGTGATTCACCACATTCACGTTCTTAATTTATTTTATTGGAACGCAAAAGAAATGTTAAGCGTTCATTAGTCCTCCGTTTTCCAATTTATGCTTAAGAATACTTGCAGTATCGGATCGCTCCCGCTTTTATGTTTCGTCGAATGCCAGGGGTCATGGAGATAGTCCAGATAGCACAACTATATCTTAAAGACGCGTTAAAAAAACGTTTTTGAGATATTGGAGAAGATGTAAAGACGTTTTGCGAACTCTGTACGACATCGTAAAGTCGTTGTAAAGACACATCGTCGAGTTAGGTAAACTGAGCGTCTTAAAGACGTCATTATGATACGTTCGTAAGGTCTTTAGTGCGGTCTTTAATATCAGGTAACCAAATAAGTTCGTGCGGTTTTTAGTAGAAAAATATAAATTTTTATTGAGAAACAATAAGACTATTTATTCGTCGAAGTAATTACTATCACATTCAATGGCCTTTTGCCAACATGGAACCAATTTTTGTATGCCGGTATTGTAGAACTGGACTTGGAGTAAAAAAATTGGCGGACTGCATTTATTACACCATCTGGAGTTGTGATCTGTCGGTGCCTCATACAGTTGTCGAGAGACAAAGACAGGTCACTGGGCGACATGTCGGGAGAATATGGCAGGTGCGGTAACGATTCCCAGCCGAGTTCAGAAATTTTATCTCGGGTCACTTTTGCGGTATGAGGCTTGGCGTTATCCTGGAAGAATATCATTTTCTTCCGATTGATCAATCTGGATGAGTGCTGCTTGTACTCGTTGAAGCTGCTCACAATAAAAGTTAGCAGTGATGGTTTGACCCCTTTCCAAAAACTCATAATGGACAATTCCAGTTACTGTCCAGCAAACATACAACAAAACTTTGTTTGGGTGCAAGGAAGCCTTGGGCGTGTGTGGTACCGGTTCAGTAGGCGACAACCAATGATACGAACGCTTAGAATTCCAATGCAAGATCGATTTTTCGTCGCAGGTTAATAACAGATTAAGAAATGGTTCATTAGCATTGCGTGAAATGTTTGCTGAACAAATTGTAAGACGACTTAATTTATCATTTGTCAGTTCATGTGGGACCCATTTGCTTAACTTCCACGTCTTTCCTAGCTGATGAAGATGCAAACGATTAGTTTCAGAACTCACTCTGATCATTTCTGCAAGTTCTTGACACGTTGTCCTGGAATTTGCGTCCACAACCTGTCGAAGATCCTATCCATCAACAACATCCAAGGCAATGTGCGATATACAGCAACCGCACGAACTTATTTGCTTACCTGATAGACTTGATAAAAAATAGGCAAACAATTAAAAAGCATAAGTATTGAAAATGATGTTAATTTCTTGTACTGTCACATATTTTTGTGTGGCTTTGCCAAGCTCCAATTGCTAACTCCCCCTCGTAATGGCTTTGCCATTTACCAGCACTCTCAACAGGTACTGAAATAAATAATTAGGTATAGGAACACCATAAGATTTTTCAATGTTGTAATCTAAAATTTGTTACTATTACTACATACTATTCAGTATGATGTCTCATTTAAAACAAATCATCTGAATTAATTAATGAATAATAAGTATAAGCACTAGCTAATGTTGCACCAGACTAGTATACAGTCTAACTTTCACTCTATATTGGCAAAAAGCCAATAAAGAACAAACCAAACTGAGAAAACATCTTGTTTGCCGCGGCGGTCAAAACCACCTAGCTCGTTGATTGTAGGCATTCGCGAAAGAGTTGTAGCTGTACAAGTTCCGTATTTTTGAAAGACACCGGCAGCATTTTGTTCAAATTAGGTTTCAATTAAGGCCTACACTTTCCTTTAAAGACACAGAACACTTTTCTCTAATATATCTAATATTAACAAACGCACGGGGGAGAAGACGATCGAAATTTACAATACTTTTTCCCAGGGAAAACGGCGAATATAGGGATATGCTCTCTTTAAACGACGCATCGTCATCTGGTGGAGTACTAGTGAATTAAAATAAAACGTTCGGGATATACCGTGAGGTTTAAACGATTCCGTAAAAAAATGATTCAATTTTCTTTAAATACATCTGAAAACTTCAACGATTTTTTATTTTGCATAGATCAAAATAATGAAATTAGATTAAAAATATGATTCTTGAAAGTGTTAAAAATAAATTATATGTATTTTCAATCGTGCTTGAATAAACAAGAAAATATGTTTTACTTTAATGTTTAGTTGGGTGCATTTCTCGTATGTTCACTAATATTTCTAACTTTCTGAACAGCTGAATTTTAGAAATTGCACTTCTTCTACAAGACATAGGAAAACGTCTCAAAGATGTTTGTTCCATAAGTCGGGATGTTCGTAAAACGTCGCAGTAAAGTTATTTTAACAACGTATTATTAATCTCTCAGGCATTCATACATTATTAGTGCATAAAATGGTCTTCTAAGATCTGTGCTATCTGGGAATGAAACTTATTTAATCTTTTCGCATAATCAAAAGAAAACATTTTCCAGCTGGCACAGTATACGTCTACGTAGGCCAACCACTAGATACTTGCAAAACAAAGATGCAGACATTCCCCCACCTCTACAAAAACGGTTTGCAGTGTCTCCTAAAAACAGCAAGACACGACGGTCTGCGCGGGCTATATGCTGGAACTGGCCCATCCCTTATAACCAGCACCTCAGAGTACTCGATACTGTTCTTCAGTTACGGTGGAGTGAAGAAATTCCTCAAATATATGATGGGGGTGCCATATTCCCAACATATGAGCACTCTATTCTACGCGACAGCAGGTTGTATGTCCTCATTCTTTTCATCTTTGGCCATTTGCCCCACGGAACTGGTCAAGTCTAGGGTACAAGTGCAAAAGGAATTGGCGAAGTACAAGTTTGGAGGAAGGAAGGAGATCACAGGACCGACGCAAGTGGTGTCGGAGATACTTGAAAGAGATGGAGTTCGAGGAATGTTTAGAGGATTGGGAGCGACTCTGGCGCGCGAGATGCCTGGATACTTTGTGTATTTTTATTCCTACGAATGTATGTATTATACAGTGAAAACCATATTTCTCTGACGGCATGAGTTCAATGTATATGAGAGAGAAGTGCGAGAAGTGTGTATCAACGCAAGTTAGAAAGAGATAGAAGCTGGCTGAAGAGCGAAGGTCAACACCACATTGCCAAGCAACGGTGATCGTGCGATCTGCCGTGTTGCCAATATGTAACACCAGAAAATGTTCGCACAGGCTTCTGCAATCCGTTAGGTTTCTGTTCAACCCCAGAAGGAGGTCTGTTTGAACATTTAATTTAATATTTGGTTTTCACTTTGATTAGAATTATTTATTTCAATTTTGATGCGACTTAGTGTTTTAATTTATTTTATAATTATGTTTGCTTTCCACTGAAGGTAACAAATACCATTACGCAATACAAAATATCACTGCCTGCGTGTACGCAGGTGAAAACCAATTCGAAGCAGGTCGACACTTCACAATGAGCGCTAGATGGGTACTGACCAAAATCGGTCATATAGGATCATGGAGGTGGAAACCTTGCCTTGGAAGGAACGACATGCGGTGTTGCCAAGCAAACCAATGTTGCAGCATTTATGGCGATCCTAAACTTTCATTTCGACTAAAATGGAGCGCCGTTAGGGCCGATCCGGTATCGATCCTAAACAGATTCGACGCAATTCACACATGTGTACGCTCAAAATAAAACCATTATTTGGGCGCAAAGAATAAACTAATGCATATTTTCAATATGCAAATTGATTAATTCAAGGAACTGGTGTAACATATTGGCTACGCGGCACATTGCTAGGCAACGCGGTGATGAGCTTCGCTATCCAGCCGATTTCTATTTCTTTCCAAAATGTGTCTAGACACACACGAATAGTACGTTTTATCACTATTTGAAGCCTCACAAGTGTGATTTTGTGCTCATGAAAAACTTTCGAAATTCCAATTCTGATTTTCTGGGAAAGCCATATTTGTCTGACGGCATGAGTTCAATGTATTCGAGAAGTGCGTAAACAACGCATGTTATAAAAAGATAGAAGCCGGCTGAAGAGCGAAGGTCAACGCCACATTGCCTAGCTATGGTGAAGAAGGCCGTGAAATCTGCCGCGTTGCCCATATGTTACACCAGAAAATGTTCGCACAGGCTTCTACAATACGTTAGGTTACTGTCAAACCCAAGAAGGTCTGTTTGAAAATTTAATTTGATATTTGGTTTTCGTTTTGATTAGAATTATATATTTCAATTTTGTTGCGACTTAGTGTTGTAATTTATTTTAGAATTACCTTTGATTCCCACCGATGGCGATAAATTCAACACTTCCTGAGTTAGAGCCTTCGCACACTACGTCGTATCGAAATCGTATCGTAATACGCGCGTAGGACAATAGCAAAACAACGCTCGTATGTGTGCTAACAAGTCCGCACACGAAGCGGTGTCGCAGCGAAGCGTATGAGATATTCAGTCGTATTACGACAGTCGTAGCGGTCTGGCGTAGAAGCAAGCGTAAAATTTAAAAGTTTTGTTCAATTGCTGTTGATATGGCTGAAATGTCTCCTTCCTCATTCGATAAAAGCTTCGGAATTTATTATCATCTTCTGAAAGTCCACGTGCAGCAACAAATAATCTTTTATCCTTATTACTTGCGATGTATGGATGGATCTAATGAGCACGTCGCTTTCTACTTCTAACATCATCAAACAATAAAAAATCCTCTTCGTCTGAAGAAAATGTAAGATCATCAATGGATACACCAGAAACATCTGGTAGCGTTGACGCCATGATTTCAACTGAGATCTTACAAAACCATACGAGTACGTGACGATGCGTGTGTGGAACACTGCAGGTCTCGTAAGCGTTGTGTCGTAACGGTGTGCTTACGAAACGACTACGCTTACGATGCGTGTGCGAAGACTCTTATTGTTACATTTTGCGACATCGAGCGGTCGGAAAATGTAACAAAAACCATTACGGAATACAAATTATTACTGCCTGCGTGTAAGTAGGTGAACACCATTTCGAAGCAGGACGACACACCCCTACGAGCGCTAGATGGGTACTGACCAAAATTGCTCAGCTATAATCGTGGAGTTGGATACCTTGCCTGGAAATGTACGAGATCCGGTGTTGCTAAGTGAACCAATGATGTAATATTGCAGAATTTGTGGTAATCCTGATCTTTCATTTCGACCTAAAATGAAGCGCCGATAGGACCTATTCGGAATCAATCCTAAACAGATTCGGCACAATTCAAAATAAAACCTTTCTTTGGGCGCAGGGAACAAACTAACGCATATTTTGAAACTGCATCTTAATTCAAGGAACTGGTGTAACATATTGGTAACGCGGTGATGAATTTCGCTATCCAGTCGGCTTCTATCTATTTCTGGCATATGTGTCTACACACTTCTATCCGGTACACATTGAACTCAGGCCGTCAGACAAATTTGGTTTTCAGTATACAGTTTTAGCAAAGTTTAAGGTTAAAAATGATTGGTGGAAATTAGATATCGACCGATATGGGATTTTTGCAGATATCAGAGTGGGGAGTTGGAACTTCCCTTTTTAGAAACAACTACGCTTGAAATAACAAAGATAATGTTGAGTAAAACAGTAGCGAAAAAGAAAAAAATAAATAATCAAGCACTCGCCGTTCATTTGCAGAGAAATTTCAATGACGGCTCTGTCACTTAGGGGCCGTTCAAGTATTACGTGAGCACTAGGGGGGCGGAGGGTTCTTTGCTTTGCTTATTTTGGATGACATGGGGGGTATGGGAGTCTAGATGATGATTTCGTCATCGTTAGTTATTTACATTTTGACATGAATGGCAACCCTTTGCTTGAACACGAAACGCATTTTCATGAATTCCCGCAAATAATGCATACGTTTACTGAACAGCGCGCGGTAATTCCCCTACCGCTTTAGAACCGAGTAGGGGAATTACCGCGCGGTGTTCGCTTGTCTAAATTTCCTCTATCAGTGTATTGTTTCGCTTGGATACTATAGCGGGTAGACGTATTGTAAGCATAGTAAAGCAAGTTAACATTTGTGTTACCATTGATTCCATTAGCCAAAGTTTAAAGTTTAAATAAGATGTCGTTTCACATAGACAAATCCAAGTTATACCAAAAATTGTTTGAAAGTTTTTAAAAATCTCATACAAGTACGAAAGTACAAAATGTACAAAAGTTAGTTAACGAAGTGTGGCGAAATTACAAATTACAAGCAAAATCCGACAAGGAACTAGATATTATTGTATCTAAGTGAATCGAAGGAGAATTGCAAGCGGCGACTAAGAATAAATCCAATCTACTAATTTTTTTCTAAGGTGAGTGACGAAATCATTTTAGGTACCTATGAGTACTAGAAATATTAAAAATCGACAAAAAGTTTCTCTTTACTGATTAGAAAATATTATGGCCTATCTCAAAGTATAGAGGTAATATTCAATATTATAGATTTATTTCTTATGATTGATTCCGTCAATTGGTCACAAATTACGGGATGTTAGTTTTATACATATATACAGAAAACTAACACCCTGTATTTTGTGACCGGAACGAACTGCTCGTTTAAACTTATAAGACTTAAAGCCATAGGGCTTTGTATTTACTATATATATTGCCATACTTTGTATTTATGTAGCTTAATAAGAGAATCTTTAGCAGAAGGCATAGAAAGTTTTTATTTTTAGGCAACCTGTAAACCTGCAGGAAAAACACAAATTATACAGTCAGCTTCAAATATTAAAAAAGAGGAAGAAGATAAAATAAAACCCGGTAAATCACAACAGCAATACGAAATTAATGAAAATACAGATAAACAGAGAGCAAAAGATTGCTCTACTCAAAAAAATCTGAATGCTTTGTATTCTGCCAGAAATACTATGCCAAGTCGTGCTGAAGTTGATAAACAGATCATTAAGTTGCGCGACGAAATAAAAACAGCAAAACAGTGTTTAAACAGGAAGGTTAAAAACGCAGTTGCCCAGAAGAAACACAGGGATGGTATGAAAAGAAAGTAAGAAGATATTTGTCATGAAAATCCAGAAATAAAAAAAAAGACTATCTCTGAGGGAATCAGTGGGACGTCCTAATCTTGAAAGCAATCAACATTCACTATTGATAACAATCGCGGATATAGCTTTATTTGGGAGTGCCGTAGATGACAGAAGACGAACGGAATCAATTCGCAGCGTAAAAACTCTTGATGAACTCACACAAGAATTACGTAAAATAGGATTTGACATTAGTCACAGTGGGACATATCTTCGTTTTATTCCCAGAAAATCTAATTCTGCAGAGGGACGAAGACATGTATCGACAGTCCCTGTTAAGCTCATTCGGGCTCAAACTGATCACCACAACAGCCACTTAGATAGCAAGTTCGCTGAAACATCAATCCATTATTTGGAGAACATAGTATCCATACTTGGACCAGATCAAGTATTTTTCGTATCTCAAGATGATAAAGCTCGAGTCCCTATTGGTGTAACTGCGGCAAATAAGCAAGCACCTCTTCTAATGCACATGGAATATAGAATCAAATTGCCTGATCACGATTGGGTAATCGTTGAGCGTCATAAATTAATACCATCTGTTTATGCTGGTATCAAAATCACTTCTAATATGCTAGGACAACCGCAAGCCGTTGGATATTCTGGACCAACATACATCGCTATTCGAAGTGGAAAGCATAGTTCATCTACTGCTAATACTCATGCTAAGGATTTCGAGACGCTTCTCGAACTTGAAGAGTTTCGATCATTAGCTAAAACTGACCTTGGACTAGTAAAACCAGTGGTAATCATGACGGTTGATGGAGGGCAAGATGAAAATCCACGTTATCAAAAAGTCATAGGGTTTGCTATACAACACTTTAAGCGACATGATCTCGATGTATTGTTTTTAGCTACCAATGCTCCTGGAAGAAGTGCGTATAACAGAGTAGAGCGCAGAATGGCTCCTCTTAGTCGGGAACTGGCTGGTTTCATATTGCCTCATGACCATTTTGGGTCTCA